GAGCGCAGCGGCGGTGGTGGGAGCCTCTCCCGCCTCCGCAACAGCGCTAAGTATGTCCGACATCCGGACATCCCCCAAGGGCTCCCAGACTGCGAGAGGGCACAGGCTGGGCTGAGGGACACCCCCCTCCAGTGCACGAATTTCGTGCACTGGGCCTCTGGTAATAGAATAACAGGGACTGGGTTTACAGTCTCCTTGCCGCAACTATAAAACTGGGAAACCACATGGAATAACATGATTTCAGAGTTTAGACAATAGGCAGCACAAGAGAGCAATTCCTGAGGAGCGAGAAACAGATGCGCTTATATCTGCCCCGCTCTCTGCCTGGGGCAGCTCTCAGGCCTCCACATGAGAGGGGAGACCCACACAAAACCTGGCAGCCTCGAGAGTATAGGACTCAGAGTCTAGAGTCTGTGGAGGTCAAGGCAGCTAGAATTTTTGGAGAAGAGGAGGGAGCTTCCCAGAAAGATGGAGTCTGGAGACCTGCAATGTGGTATTTTGTGAAAGAGCCACACTCAAGGGGCCAAAGAGCCGCATGTGGCTCGCGAGCCACGGTTTGCTGACCACGGCTCTAGGGGGACTGAGGGCTAAATTCAAGGGGTGGACATGGTCCAGACTTCCAGAGTGTTCCTTTGGGGTGTATACTGTGTTAACCAAGACAGGACAAACAGCAGGAGAGGGAGAGCCGAGGGCAGGGCTGTCTTTCCTCTCTGGCGTGTTGAGCATGAGGTCTCCACGGGGCTTCTATTTGGAAATGTTTGTCTGCAAACATTTTATTCCAAAATAAAAATCACGCCCCCACGGCGGGTCAGGCCTGCACACACAGCGTGATGGTCGTGGTATCTGAGAGCAAAGGAGCCACAGCTCACAGTGGCCCCTGACATTCGGTGACTCGGGACGGGGACAGGATGCTGCAAGGCAGTGCTGAGCGCTCGGCTGGGCGAGGGAGGTGGTCAGAAGAGCAGCAGGGGGACTTGAAGAGCATAGCATCATGGAAACCAAGGGAACCAAACTTCAACAGGAACTGGTGGTCCTTAGCATCAAGTTACGTAGGAAAAAATCAAATAGGAGGATTTAACACAAGTCACTGCATGAAGAAACACCCCCATGTCAAGAGCTGGTCTCAGGACTACCACCATCTGGAAGACGCTTGCCCTCAGCACCCCCACTCCCCTCCCCCCCCATCCGAGCTGCCCTGTCCTGCCCCCAGCCTGCCAGGCCGAGGCTCGCCTGGGAATGGGGTGGGCCATGTGACACCGGGTCCCTGCCTTTGATTACATTTAGCTTAAATCTTAGCTCTAGAAATCATCTCTCTCTCTCCCCCTCAGAGACCGAGCTTCTCCCAATGATCAGCAACCCCCGAGGCAGCAGAAGACCCAGGCCTCTGCAGGCCAAGGGTCACGTGACCTAAGCCCGTTTCAGCTCCTGAGCCCTAAGGTGCAACGACCCCGGCTCCATTCCCGTGAGACGGACAGGGACATGGAAACTCAGCCGTCTCACGTCCTGAGTGATCCACTACCCTGCCCTCCCTGACAGCCAGCTCCCAGCACCATCAATTTAAAAGACCTAAATTAATAGAGAGATACACATTAATAGATTTGACATCACTAACATGTCCACTGATCTATAAAATCAATGCAGTCCCAATAGGTATCTCAGATGTAACTTCTGTACAAACTGGCATGCTTATTCTAAAATTTATATTGAGAACCAAGACCAGCCCAAACTTGAGGACTTAAACTACCTGATTTTGAGACTTTTTATAAAGCTACAGTAATCAAGACAGCGTAATAATGTTGAAAAGGAAGTCAAATACATCAATGGAAAAAAAAGCCCAAATATAGACCCACCTGATTTTCAACAAAGGTACAAGTAAAGGCAACACAGTGTGGAAACAGTCATCATTTCAACACATTGTGCTGAAACACCAACACGATGATCCGAGGACAAATTCTTCACACCATTTATAGACATTAACAGGAAACGAAATAACATAAATGTAAGAAAACTATGCACATTTCTAGAAATAGATATAGGAAAACACTTACTGACCTTGGGTGAGACAAAAAACCAAACAGAAAATAAGCTGAAGAATTAGATTTCATCAAAATTAAGAGGCTTTGCTCTTCAGACGACGGTGGACGCTCGGCTGGCAGACTCCTGCTGTGGCGTACGTGGGAGGACACGGGGCTGGGGAGACCCAAGACCACTGCTCCCGACCGCGCCCGGGCACCTCCCCCTCCCCCTCCCCGACACACTCGACCCCAGGGGCCCTGTGACGTCGCCCCGTCACCTAAACCTTCACGCCATCACGGCGCCGTCTCTATACGGCAGCGTCGGCCCCAGGACCGGTGTTCTCTCCTCGCAGCTCTGTGTCATGGTGCTGGGACGGACAGGAACCCGCCACCAGCGACAGCAGGTGGGCTGTGCCGTGGGGGCCTGGGCTGCCTCCGACCACAGTGAGCCGCCCTGGGAGAGGGGCATCTGCAGAGTCCTGCCACCATCCTCCACGGCGGGGCCTCGGCCTCCAGGTGAAACCAGCCCCAGTGTGCGCGTGGCCAGGAAAAGGGAGACCCGCATCTCCCAGCTGCTCGAGAGCCCAGCCGGTGACCCGAGGTGGACGCTCGGCTGGCAGACTCCTGCTGTGGCGTACTTGGGAAGACACGGGGCTGGGGAGACCCAAGACCACTGCTCCTGGCCGCGCCCGGGCACCTCTCCCTCCCCCTCCCCGGGGTCTTTTTATTCAGAGATGCCCTAAAAATAGCTCTGAGCAATTTTAAAAACTGATTTGTCCTACAAGGGCTGTAAGGAAGAACCGCAACCACGGACACAAAGCACAGCGGGTTTGGGGCTCCTGGTCAGGTGGGCCGTGCCCCCAGGAGTGGGGGGAGCAGGGAGGCTCCCCAGGGACGCTTCCACCCTCCTGAAGGCTTTACAGGGGCCTGGGTGCCCCTGGGGACCCGACCTCTTTCCTGGAAGGACTCCAGTGGGAAGGCACGTCTGTCCTTGGGCTGTGAACCACCCGGTGACACACAGAGGCAGGAAATAAACTCAGTGACCCACCTGGCACATGGGCACTGGACAGGTGACCCCAGCCTCCGAGCGGAAACCAGGCTGCTGAGTGAGCTGGGCAGGGATTTTCGTTAAGGACCAGCCAACCATGACTGACGAGCTCAGTGAAGAAAACACGCATTTTCTCCCGGTGACGAGCTCAACACAGGAACTGCCCCCTGGTGGTCAGTGTGCCCACACAGGGGGAGTGCTGCTCAGCCAGAAACCCTGACGGGTCTTTTTATTCAGAGATGCCCTAAAAATAGCTCTGAGCAATTTTCAAAAACTGATTGTCCTACAAGGGCTGTAAGGAAGAACCACACCCATGGACACAAAGCACAGAGGGGTTTGGGGCTCCTGGTCAGGTGGGCCGTGCCCCCAGGAGTGGGGGGAGCAGGGAGGCTCCCCAGGGACGCTTCCACCCTCCTGAAGGCTTTACAGGGGCCTGGGTGCCCCTGGGGACCCGACCTCTTTCCTGGAAGGACTCCAGTGGGAAGGCACGTCTGTCCTTGGGCTGTGGACCACCCGGTGACACACGGAGGCAGGAAATAAACTCAGTACCCACCTGGGCACATGGGCACTGGACAGGTGACCCCAGCCTCCGAGCGGAAACCAGGCTGCTGAGTGAGCTGGGCAGGGATTTTCGTTAAGGACCAGCCAACCATGACTGACGAGCTCAGTGAAGAAAACACGCATTTTCTCCCGGTGACGAAATGAAGCTCGAATCCTCAGACTGCGGTCCGCCCGCTCGGGATCTTCCCGTCAGTGTGAGCAGCCAGGGCCTCCGGGTGCTGCCCGGTGCTGCCAGCCTCAGCTGGCGGGAGACCACACTGGCATCAGCCTAGGAGCCTGGCACCGACCGGGCCTGCCCGGCACCAGGGGTGGGAGACCTCAGAGTTGGGTCACCCACCGCCTTTGGCAGATTTGGTCTGAATGGCTTTTGACTGCTTTCAAAAAACACAAAAATCTGTCTGCGAGGGCCCAATGACTGTCCCCAGTTTCTAACGAAAGTCAAAAGAACTTAGAGGATTCCAGAGAAGATGACCAACATGGCTCACAGGTGGCCGCAGCGTCTGCGGAGCCCAGGGGGCAGCAGCCCGGGGAAACCAGTCAGAGCAGGTGTGCTGGGGAAATGTCCGTTTCCTTAGCACAGAGGCCTCCAGTGCTGGGCAGAGCAGTCACATGCTCTGAAAATGCTGCAGAGCTCACAAACGCAACGCGCCTCCCAGGCTCCACCTGACACACGAGGGCGTCACAAAAATACGCCATCAGGAAAGGTGAGGGCACGTGCATTCTGACACGCTGTCGGCGGCAGGAGACCTCAGCGGGGTCGGATGCTGTGAAGCTCAGGCCGGAACCAGCGCACCCCCCTCCAGTGCACGAATTTCGTGCACTGGGCCTCTGGTAATAGAATAACAGGGACTGGGTTTACAGTCTCCTTGCCGCAACTATAAAACTGGGAAACCACATGGAATAACATGATTTCAGAGTTTAGACAATAGGCAGCACAAGAGAGCAATTCCTGAGGAGCGAGAAACAGATGCGCTTATATCTGCCCCGCTCTCTGCCTGGGGCAGCTCTCAGGCCTCCACATGAGAGGGGAGACCCACACAAAACCTGGCAGCCTCGAGAGTATAGGACTCAGAGTCTAGAGTCTGTGGAGGTCAAGGCAGCTAGAATTTTTGGAGAAGAGGAGGGAGCTTCCCAGAAAGATGGAGTCTGGAGACCTGCAATGGTGTCCCCCAAAGCCTTTAGCTAAATACTTACCTGCATACAGGTGTGAGCATGAACCATACCAAAGAAAAATCACACATCAGAACTGGGGGGACACAGGTAAAGGAGTGCTAACAGGAAATTCATGGCAACTCCTATAGCATGGTGAAAAGCACCTATGAAACACCCAGGAGTACCATGCTTAATAAAGACTGGATCAAAAAAAAAAAAAACATCCTACCTCACCATAGCCACGTTGGACTATGATCTGTCATTTACAACTTAAACTTAAATCATATGTCACATATCTGTCCACACATCCACCCCTACACACACACACACACACACAGAACCAGGTGCCCCTGAGGCAGGGACAGGGGTCTCACTGTCCCCATGCCATTGGGGACCCTCTCCAAGCACACATGTAGCTCATTCACAGGGCCAGCCAGTTTACTAAGCACACGCAGCAATTTTAGGCCTGAAAACATGTGCCGAGAGAGAGAGAGAGAGAGAGAGAGAGGAGAAAAAGGGATGGTGAAAAGAAAGTGAAGGCATACACACCCTCTCCTGTAACTGTGCCAGCAGCAGGGTCTGCCCGGCAGCAGCCACCCCGAGGGAGGACCTGTCTCATTACTATGGGGATGGATTAGGAGGGAGTGCAGCTTGGCCTTCTGCCTGCAGCCTGTCCATCTTGTGTTTCTTTTACTGAATAAAGAAATCAGCTCCTTCTCCCTAGGAAGCTACTGTGGAAAAAAACAGGCAACAACTTGAGTCCCTCCAAAATGTGAGGACAGCATGCAGGAGGTCCCCGCGCTAGCTGCCTGCACCTGCTCACCTCATCCCTCCGGACTCGCGATAACCAGCGCACTGCGGCCGGGGTCAAAGGTGCTGGGGTCATGTTAAAGGCACTGCGGCCGGGGTCAAAGGTGCTGGGGTCATGTTAAAGGCACTGCGGCCGGGGTCAAAGGTGCTGGGGTCATGAAATAAGCTGAAGAATTAGATTTCATCAAAATTAAGAGGCTTTGCTCTTCAGACGACACTGCTAAAGCTGTTAAGAAAATTACACCACACCACACATGCTGGGTGTCCCAAAATGTATACACACACTTTGCATAATTATAAAGACAGGGTTTATTAAAATACATTTCATTTTCAAAATTAAGCTGTCAAAGTGTGTATACATTTTTGGGGACAGCCTGTATTTGCAACACATTTCTTAAAGAATGCCTATTTAGAAACCTTGCAATTCAGTGATATGAAGACAAAGGCCTAATAATGAATTAGCTATGGAAAAGCTGTCCCTTTGCCAAAGGAGTCACAGATGGCAAATAAGGCCACCAAATACAGCCGATGTCATGGCCCGCAGTCTGCCAGCTCCCGGTAAGTTAAAGATGCGCTCACTTATCACGCGGCTGAAGGTCCCATCCTCCGCATTTTCCCCAAAGAAAGGAAGGCGTACGTCCACAAAACCACCTGCATGTGACTGTCCAGCTTTGTGCGTGACAGCCACAGGCACCTGACCAAATCCTTGAACCTGGGGGCGCTGACAAACTGACCGCTGTTGTCCTCCTGGGGTCAGGGTGCCGTTCCCACCACCACAGAGGCCCAACCGCGGAAGCTCTAAGGCAGCTGGTTTGTCACAGCCTCATTTGTCCGATGCCTTCTCTGAGATTAACAGCCCTCCACTGTGCCCTTCATACTTTGTTCAAGAGAATTAAATCTCTCACGCATACACACTAACAATTCCATGAAACACCACAGGAACCCATCACAGCGCTCCGAGGGCTGGCAATGGGGAATTGAGAGACAGAGCGTCGCGTGCACCGGAGCCTGTCTCGGGGAAGATGTGGCGATGACGCCGGCCCCCGCCCATCACTGCGAGGAGCACCTGGAACTGGGGGCGGGGTGCTCCACCGCAGCCCTGTGGGCTGCTGGCCTGTCAGGCTGCGTTCACGCCCCTCGGACACTGGGCCATGTCCTCAATGGCTCCTAGCAACCTCCGAGGATCGAAATGCCAGGAAATGCCTCTAGGCCAGTGGTCCGAAAACTGTGGCTCGGCAAACCGCGGCTCGCGAGCCACATGCGGCTCTTTGGCCTTGAGTGTGTGGCTCTTCCACAAAATACCGACTTCTGTGCATGGGCCACGAAGTTTCAATCGCACTGTACGTGCGCACCCGCAAGTGGTATTTTGTGAAAGAGCCACACTCAAGGGGCCAAAGAGCCGCATGTGGCTCGCGAGCCACGGTTTGCTGACCACGGCTCTAGGGGGACTGAGGGCTAAATTCAAGGGGTGGACATGGTCCAGACTTCCAGAGTGTTCCTTTGGGGTGTATACTGTGTTAACCAAGACAGGACAAACAGCAGGAGAGGGAGAGCCGAGGGCAGGGCTGTCTTTCCTCTCTGGCGTGTTGAGCATGAGGTCTCCACGGGGCTTCTATTTGGAAATGTTTGTCTGCAAACATTTTATTCCAAAATAAAAATCACGCTCCCACGGCGGGTCAGGCCTGCACACACAGCGTGATGGTCGTGGTATCTGAGAGCAAAGGAGCCACAGCTCACAGTGGCCCCTGACATTCGGTGACTCGGGACGGGGACAGGATGCTGCAAGGCAGTGCTGAGCGCTCGGCTGGGCGAGGGAGGTGGTCAGAAGAGCAGCAGGGGGACTTGAAGAGCATAGCATCATGGAAACCAAGGGAACCAAACTTCAACAGGAACTGGTGGTCCTTAGCATCAAGTTACGTAGGAAAAAATCAAATAGGAGGATTTAACACAAGTCACTGCATGAAGAAACACCCCCATGTCAAGAGCTGGTCTCAGGACTACCACCATCTGGAAGACGCTTGCCCTCAGCACCCCCACTTCCCCCACGCCCCATCCGAGCTGCCCTGTCCTGCCCCCAGCCTGCCAGGCCGAGGCTCGCCTGGGAATGGGGTGGGCCATGTGACACCGGGTCCCTGCCTTTGATTACATTTAGCTTAAATCTTAGCTCTAGAAATCATCTCTCTCTCTCCCCCTCAGAGACCGAGCTTCTCCCAATGATCAGCAACCCCCGAGGCAGCAGAAGACCCAGACCTCTGCAGGCCAAGGGTCACGTGACCTAAGCCCGTTTCAGCTCCTGAGCCCTAAGGTGCAACGACCCCGGCTCCGCTCCCGTGAGACGGACAGGGACATGGAAACTCAGCCGTCTCACGTCCTGAGTGATCCACTACCCTGCCCTCCCTGACAGCCAGCTCCCAGCACCATCCCCCACACTCGACCCCAGGGGCCCTGTGACGTCGCCCGTGTCACCTAAACCTTCACGCCATCACGGTGCCGTCTCTGTCAGCCCCAGGACCGGTGTTCTCTCCTCGCAGCTCTGTGTCATGGTGCTGGGACGGGCAGGAACCCGCCACCAGCGACAGCAGGTGGGCTGTGCCGTGGGGGCCTGGGCTGCCTCCGACCACAGTGAGCCGCCCTGGGAGAGGGGCATCTGCAGAGTCCTGCCACCATCCTCCACGGCGGGGCCTCGGCCTCCAGGTGAAACCAGCCCCAGTGTGCGCGTGGCCAGGAAAAGGGAGACCCGCATCTCCCAGCTGCTCGGGAGCCCAGCCGGTGACCCGAGGTGGACGCTCGGCTGGCAGACTCCTGCTGTGGCGTACTTGGGAAGACACGGGGCTGGGGAGACCCAAGACCACTGCTCCTGGCCGCGCCCGGGCACCTCTCCCTCCCCCTCCCCGGGGTCTTTTTATTCAGAGATGCCCTAAAAATAGCTCTGAGCAATTTTCAAAAACTGATTGTCCTACAAGGGCTGTAAGGAAGAACCACACCCATGGACACAAAGCACAGAGGGGTTTGGGGCTCCTGGTCAGGTGGGCCGTGCCCCCAGGAGTGGGGGAAGCAGGGAGGCTCCCCAGGGACACCCTCACCCTCCTGAAGGCTTTAGAGGGGCCTGGGTGCCCCTGGGGACCCAACCTCTTTCCTGAAAGGACTCCAGTGGGAAGGCACGTCTGTCCTTGGGCTGTGAACCACCCGGTGACACACAGAGGCAGGAAATAAACTCAGTGACCCACCTGGCACATGGGCACTGGACAGGTGACCCCAGCCTCCGAGCGGAAACCAGGCTGCTGAGTGAGCTGGGCAGGGATTTTCGTTAAGGACCAGCCAACCATGACTGAC